ACCATGAAGGGCGACCATACTTCCGGACTAGGATGGATAATAATACTCATTATTAGTGTTTTTACTATCCTTTTCTAGTAGTAGCAGAGAGAAACAATGGACAGACAGACTTCGTACGGTCAGTTCACTTACGTATAAGTTCACTACACACAACACACAAGAAAGCATCGTCTACAGATCCCTCAAGAAAACCAAACACACAGCATTGTGTTTTCTGTTTTCATTATTTTTTTAGCTAGACATCATCACATTGTCAATAGATTGGAGGGCTTGATTTGCGAAAAACCGTACATCAACGTCTGGGTCTTCACTTAGCTCCACCAAGCATGGCCGTATCATGCTCTCTACAACCTTTCACAAGCAAAAAAAAGTAACAATATTTGAATATATGGACGTTTTGATTCCCTAATGAGGATTGGAATCATAAGCTCTTTCTCTACTTGTGAGAACCAAAAAAAGACAATGATGTGTGAAGGGTAACTAACCGATTGGTCAACTATCGGAATGAGAGATTGCATCATTTTGGCAACGTTAAATTTGATGTTTGGAACTCTGATAAGAGTAGAGAGTTGATTTTTAGTTAGCTATTGGGACTTGGGAGTAATGAATTGATTCAATGATTTTTCATGTTCTCAGAAAGAGAGAGAGACTTGCCTGTCTTTAGATGCGGTTATTACTGCAGGCAAGAGTTTGGAACATGTGATCTCGGATCCCATTACTGGAGCGAGAAGCGATACTGCACGAAGAATCGTCATCCGGTATAGATAGTGTGGATTGTTAATCATCTCTAGAACCTGCACAAGTAAATATAGTTATACAAACAATAGCGAAATGATCGAGTTGGATTAAAGTGAAGAAAAAAATATACCATACGCTTAAGATTTCAAAACAAACCTGAGGAACTATATGCTGCATTGCCCATTCAGGACCAAACTCTTCAGCAAGACGCTTAAGATTGTTCGCAGCAGCTTCGCGGATTGAGTGCACCTACACAATAGAAAGTTAC